CCCTCCCGGCGCATGCGCGGCGGCGCCCGCCTGGCCGTTACGTCACGGTGGAGGCGGGGTTACGTCAACGGGGGTGAGGCTTGGTGGGTGGAGGCGTGGTTTGTGGGGAGGGGGTGGGGCTTGGCGAGTGGAAGGCGGGGCTTGTTGCGTGGAGGCGGGGCTTCGTGGAAGGGCGGGGCTTGGTGGGCGGAGGCGGGGCTTGGTGAGCGAGCGGTGCGTGGCGGCCCCCCCGCAACTGACAGGAAACCTGTTTGTAAAAAATATATTAAAATGACAAAAATAATAATAACAAAAATGCCACCGAGCGCCCTGGTCGGGGTGTGGCCGCGCTCAGGGCTTGGTTCCCCGTCCCCCCCTCGCCGCGGCGGGCCGGGCCGGGCCGCGCGGGCGGGGCGGCGGTTTCCAGCCGGACGCTTTGCGGCGGCGAGCGCGGCATGGCGGCGCCCGCGGCCTGAGTGGCGCCATGTTCGCCAAGGCGCTCCGGGTGCGGGCCAGCTCCGCCGTCAAGGGCTCGGACCGGTGAGTGCCCCGCGGACGGGCCCCGGGCCGGCCCCGCGCCGCCAGCTCCCGGCGGCCTCCCGCGAACCCGGCGGGGTTTGGGCGCAGATCGTTGGAATTCGGCCCATCCCGGTGCAGAACGGCCGGGTTTGGGCGCACATCGTTGGAATTCGGCCCATCCCGGTGCAGAAATGGCCAGAGCGGGGCCCAGACCCCCCTCGTGTCCCCAGCGAGCAGGGTCCGCGCGGGGGGAGCACAGGGACAGGCCGCCACCATGGAGCACGGCGGCTTCTCCCCCTGTCATGACACGATATTGTCATGACACTGCTATTCTAACCACAACATGCTCAGAATTTTTAAAATTAGATAATTCGATCCCCCCCTTTTGTTTTTGGGGCTTGGCGGCGCGGCCATAATTGACCTGGCTTTTAAGTGACTTTGAGGTCAAGGCCGAGGTTTTCGGGGCCGGCCCGGTTTGAGCGCAGGTTTTCGGGGCAGGTTTTGCAGTTGGGGACAAACCAGCCGCGACGGCGACAGCGGCCAGGAGCGGGCGCGGAGGGGCGGAGAGCGGGACAAGCCCGTTCCGCCCCGTGTTCTCCCAGTTCCTGACTCTTTCATGTGTAAACCCAGGCACAAACGCTTCAAACTGCCTTTTGTGGAGGAGAAAACACAAATGGGAATCTCACGAATAGCCGGAAAGCAGTAACTGGTGGTTATTTTAAGAGGCGGTCTGCACGGCTCTGTAACCCGTCTGTGATTTGTCTTCGCAGGAGGAAACTACGAGCCGAGGTTGCAGCAGCTTTTCCTGACCTCAGTCCTGAACAACTCGCAGAGTTTATTCCAAACAAAGAGGAGCTTAACGTCATCAAAATATACAGTCACAAAGGCGAGGCCGTTACTGTTTATACAAACAGCAAGAATCCAATTCTGTTTGAAGTTGAAAAAGCTCTGTATCCAACAGGTACGGGGCGTGGACTAAAGCAATTCTCCCTCCCTCTTTCCCTGTTGGACACCAACCCTTTCCCCAGAGTGCTGCTCGCGTTTTAACTGCGTGTATGTCTCCCATCACTATAGCATCTTCACAGTCTATAAGGTATTTATGTTCCCAACATCTGTGTAAGTCCAGCAGGGCTTCTGGATTCCTTGTGCTAGAAGGAAACCAAGATGCTGAGAGGTGACAGGGTCCAAGAATGTCTGCTCTAGCATAGAAAGTGGGAAACGAGCCCTGTGAGTCATAGGTTAGTGGTGTCCAAGCCCCTTTTCCCTTTTTGTCCAGTAACTGCAAGCTGTAATTCCTAGAAGCATGATGTTCACTTCTAGGCATCCTTGGAATTAGGCAACAAATTGCTCTGGTACTCTCTGCTCTTCCTCTCTTTCCTTCCCCCAACACACCCAGCAATTCTTCCCTTAGTAGTACAGCTTAAAGTGTCCGTGATTTAAGAAAAATAACACAAAAAAAAAGGCTATAATACATTCTTTACAAGAATCCACAGAAGCTTAAATTCACTGGCAATTTTTCTCCTTCATGTATACTAATTATTATAGGGTTGTGCTAACTTCAGATTTCTTGATTACTTGAGTGGCAGAAGAATATTTAATTGTGATTAGTCCTACACTGGTTAGTCTTAGAGATGACCAGAAGCAACAGCTAGAGAAGTTTTTGGTGATGCATCTTTACATTTGGTTCTGTTTTGGGACAGTGTATACTCTGTGGGCCTTTCCGGATCTTCTCCCTGCTTTTGCAACATGGCCCCCAGTGCTACAGAAACTGGCAGGAGGAGCAGGTAGGAGAACTAAAACTTTGTTATGTTGCACGGTGAAAAAGCACTTGCCTTTGGAAATCCGTATTGCACAACACAGCTTTTGTGATGCTCTCTCTCCCAGAGGCAAAAATGTACTTGAAACAACTAACAAAAAAGGTTCATTTTTCACAGATTAATTCCTGCTGATCTCCCAGAGGGAATATAAATTAGCAGTAGGTAAGTTTGTGAATGAAACAAAGTAGGTCAAGGTTTTTAAATGTGTTCCTGTGTTCTGAGAGACTCTGATTTGGAAATCTCTTCCCAGGGTGTGAATTAGAGTAGGAACTCTGAACTGGGGCACTAAACTACTTGTGTCATTGGTCTGTTTATTATAACTTATCTTGGGCAGCTGAAATTCATCTACTCCTAGCCCTTTCCCTGTCAATTCAGAGGTGAGCTGGTTTATTCTGTGGATAATAAGTGACTTGACATTGGAACCTATGTGGTCTTAAATCACTACAAAGTACATTGTGGATTATACAGGTGAGGTTGGATTTGAATTCCTGGATTACTAGCTCTACAATTTAGTTATGGATCAACACTAATAGGAAAGCCTATTTTCTGGAGGCTGCTTTGGATGCAGTTCAGACTCATGATAGTCAGGCTTTTATCAACTGAAATTGCAGAACTGCTCAACCAGAAGCAGATTAAATTCCAGCCATTGTGGCCTGCGTCCGTAAATGGACGTGTACGTGTAGAAAGAGATGTCTTTCTTTCCATTACACAGTATCTAAAGTGCAAGTACTCGAATCCCTCTGCTCATTTTGTTTGCTTCTAGCAAAATAAAGCATTTGAATGCGTAGATACGATAAACATCTGAGCAAGCCCTGCTGCTGGCTTGTACTGACCTATTTTCTGAGGAGGGGACAACAAAAATGGAAAAAAGGGAAGGACTAATGGGAGAAGGAGGTTGATGAAAGAAACCAGGGCTGCTGGTCATTCATCTCCCGTAGCAACCTCTGCGAAGATGCAAAGATAAGGAGCTGGCTACTGAGACAATGGCCAGCAGAGGCCCAGAGGAGCAAGGAAAAGCACCAGTTCCCAGCCCTGCAGCGCAGGGAAGGCGAATGGAATTAGGAGAGCACTACCTTAAAAAGAGGAATTGCAAGGCTGTGCTGCTCCCCGCTATCTGTTCTGTTAATTCAAGTACCTACTGCCTGCCTTGGTTATTTAAATACTTACCCTGATATGCTGAGGGCTTCAAGTGGTTTCTGTCCTTAGAGATGGGGTCTCTGGTTGCAGTTGCAGACGTCTTTCTAGATTTGCTGGAAGCGGTTGTCGTAACAAGTGGAAGGGAAAAATACTGTTGACTGTTTAAGTATGCACATTAAAATCCACGCTAAGAGAAAAGAAGTGAGATACTCTCAAAACCAAATTGCAGAACACAGATCTCTCCATGAAACTGCAAACTGCAGACAGTTGTAGCTGCTCTGAGGGAGGTCAGATGCTCTTAATGTAACTCAGTGATAATGTGATGTTCTGCATTAGGCATAGAAAGGCAAGAAATGCCTAATGCAGAACATGACATTGTCCTGTCCTGTCACATTATCCTGTCCTTCACTCACGTGTCCGTCTGTTCATCCCAGTTTTGGAAAGCAGAAGGAAGCACACAGTGAGTTGTGCTGTTTCCATGCAGCTTAGCAAGGGGGTGCTTAAGGCTGTTTCTTCCTGCCAGGCGAGGACTGAGCACACTTGGCTCTTCTGCTGTGCTTGGGGACGCGCTCAGCACCCTCCTGAATCAGACCCCTTGCTCCAGCAGCCTGGAGACAGGGACTCTTACCTTCCTGGCAGCAACGGGGGGTGTGCTGAGCTATTAAAACGCTTGTATTTTTGCCGAGTAGCAGGAGGGATAGTGGCCGAATCTCTCTTTGCTTTTACAAATTTACAAATTTCTCATTTACAAATGCTCGTTAGAGACGCGTGCGCTGTGTTCTTTCCCCAGATCTGATGCTGCCAGGGGTTGCAGTGCCATCTTCTGGCTTCCCTCGTGTCGAGCGGGGCACGCTCTGTGCCGTCACCCTCTTGGGAAACAGGTACTTGGGAAGCTCCTTATTCATGTGCTTTTCCCAGAAACCGATAACGAAAGGAAAGTATTTTTTAAAGGCGGACCCTGGGGATTTTGAGGAAATAAAGGCAAGCCTATTCCCTTGCATTTAACGCAGTTTGGAGCTAGACAGGGGGGCAAATTCTGCAGAAAAAGAGAAGAATTCAGTTAAGTTTCTCTGTAAAAATAGCTTTATCTTGGCTGTGTATCACACGGTTTGTCCAAGAAGCACAGGATATTGCAGTGCCCTGCTATGATGCTCTCTTCTTTCCCCAGAGCTCCAGTAGCAGTTGGAGTTGCCAATATGTCCACCACGGAGATGCTTGCTGCTGGAATGAAAGGGAAGGGGTTTGCTATATTGCATACTTACATGGATTATCTCTGGTAGGTGCATTTCCAGCTGTACCTGTAAAATGCTTATAAAAAGTAATTCGCTTGATTTAGTTTCTTCAACTTGAATCTAATCCTCATGGATATGAAGACAACACATCCCTGGTATGTTGATATCGGAATATCTGCCTGTTCTCTTTAAACACGCACTCTGAAATAATTTTGCTTAAAAAGCGTCAACTTTGCCAGTCTTAACAAAAGAAATGAGTCATTCTACATTTCAGTTTAACTAGTTTGCTCAGTTTTAGCTTGGATTCATGGAGGAAAATAACAGATTTTGGAGGAAGGTGAAATAAAAGACAGTTTTATAGTTTTTAGAATGCAGAAAATTCATGCAGCTGCACATGTCCTTTATCAGAGGACATTTATTTATTGCCCCATGGGTTTACAAGCAGTATACAGAAAGCTATTTTGTGCCTTTTTTCTTCCTTTTTTAGGGAATTAGGTGACAAATCTTCTCCTCCTACCTTAGCTCCTTCGGTAGCAGATCCTGCTGTAAAGGAGAGTGCTGAAGATGAGGAAGAGCAGGAGCCCGTGATCAGCTGCACGGCTGACCCGTTGCAGCAGGTGGGCATTGCAGATCTGAGCCTGAAGGAGCAAGATGGTTGTGCAAGAGTGATGGGAAAAGAAGAACTCAATGAGAACGGAGCTCCAGAAAGACCTGGAGATGACAGTGCAGAGGTTCAGCAGGAAGCTGAGGACAGCAGGACCCCACAAGGTATTTTTGCAGACACACAGAACCACATTACAGCTCTGCTGTTTTCTGAAGCTCATGTCCATGATCCAGATTACTGTGTATTACAGGCAGCTCCTTGTAAGAGCAGAGGTTACTACTGTGGTCAGGAAACCTCTTTTTAAAACAATAAATATTGCAAAGTATTGCAAGGCATAAATATTTAGCCGCGATACAAGATATTTTTTATATGGATCCATTTACTTATACAGCCCCTCTTCTGCATCATTTTAATCCCTGGAAGACATTTTTTATCATAATGGTAATTTTACAGTCCAGAGGGTTAACCTACTTGAGGTTTGATCACTGTAACTTTATGTGCAAAAAATCCAGGAATAAGACTGCCCCAAATGTGGAAGACATCAAAATTGGGTGAGAATGTGCAATTTTTGTCTCCCAGTCTTATTCTGTAAATCTTGGACATAGAGCTTAAAGAGGTATTTGACAACTTAGTAAGAGATAGAAATCAAAAATGAAAACTCTGAAAGTAACCTGAAGTTTATGGTTCTTGAGAACACTTCCTTGTCCTTAGGGATACTTACTATACTTTTTCCTTCCTGCAGAGCAAATGGATGCATTATTTAGCCAGTGCTTTTTTCATGCTTTAAAATGCAAAGTAAAGAAGTCAGATCTCCCTCTACTGACCAGCACATTCCTACGCAGCCATATGTTCTCATGCTGGTATGTGGTAAGAAGATTATCTTTGTATAGTGTTTTTGTCTTTGAAAATGTGAAGTAAGCATGTGATACTTGGGATGAAGTTTTTGACTCAAAAGTTAAAAATCAGTTCTTATCTAAGGCTAAAAATCAGTTCTTATCTAAGGCTAAGATTTTGCTCACTCTCAGTATTGGATGCAAGAACATCAACACTAGTTTCATTTATCCTAGTCTACCTATCAGCTTTTTGAATTAAGTCTTTTTCTGTGATTCATGTTTCTGCTGTTCAGAAAATTTTAGCAGAAGTAGCAAGATATAAGAAGAAATGTAGGGCAACCACTAACTAAATAACTTTAAAAAAAAACTCTATCCATAGCCCTGCTGGACAACAGCTGGACATAAAGAAATCAAGCTATAAGAAGGTGAGATTTCTCTCTCCTTTTATTTTCGCCTTTTTTCTTTTTTTTTTTTTTTTTTTGGTCATTAACTGAAATAAAAAATGGAAGGAGAGTAAGAGCTTCAAGTGAAAGCTTACATGATAGAGGCATCAACCATGGCTTAGCAAGTGCTCTTTACAGAAGCTGCTGGCAGGGAGGGAGAGCTGCCTTATTTATTTGTTTTCTAACTTAGTGGGCCTTTAAAAACACAAGAAATGGATTTTTTATGCCTAGTTCTCTCCACATTTATGCTTGTTCCTTCATTCAGTTCTCCAAATTCCTGCAATGTATGCAGCATCAGAAGGTCTTGCAAGTGAAGGAGCTGAGCAAAGGTGTGGAGAGCATTGTGGAAGTGGACTGGAAACATCCAGAGTAAGTAGAAAATTATAATCTTTAAAAAGGTCATTAGCCTTCGAAAGGAGGGAGAGGAATCGGGTATTTCTATAGCTCTAGTATCTGTACTGTGCTTGAACTCCCTTTCTAAATAGCTCAGTGAAATGGAAGTTAGAAATTTCATTCCTTTCACACCACCAAGTAATTATTGTTTCAGCATTAAGGCATTTACAGTACCCGAAGGATTTTCTTCGGCCACTGCTGCCCAAGAGAGCAAGACTGAAGACAGAGGACAATCTTACCATGCTCCTGAAATCATACCGCTCTATGGGGTCTCGGCAAAAATGACCCCACTCTTCCAGGAATCTGGACACAGGTGAGCATTTGAAAAGCAAGATAAAACCATGGTGAAGCAGAGGCCACCAGACCCATTGCCACCACTGCCACCTTTGCAAGTTGGTTAGTCTGCAGCGGGAGAGCCCTGTGACCCCACCAGGAAGAGAAATAGCAATCAGGAAGGTTTTCAAGAGGGTACCTGGGTGATTAGAAGAACTCATTTGCCTCATTGAGCTGTTGCTACTCAATGTGGTAGGGGTAATTGCTCTCTTCTCTCTACCTAGCGAGTCTAGCTAACATCTGTTTCTTAATGTAGTAATTAGGTTACTTTTCTCTTCTAGAAAAGGCAGCATCCTGTCAAGCAGTGAGGTGAGAAACATCATCATTAACTATGTGAAGGCTAATGAGCTGGTCGATGAAACAAACAAAAAGTAAGTAGATGTGACAGTTGTCCTACCTTGTTTCCACAGGAGATGTTGATGGTGGAGGAGAAAAATGAACTTGTTTGTGCCTAATGCACTGCTTTTCTGTTGCAGCTTTGTAAAGGTGAATGCCATTTTGTGTGACTGCCTGTTAGATAAATCAGAACAAGATGAAATCACAAACCTTAAATGGGATGACCTCCTGAGCAGGTGACTTTTCCAGTGTACTCTTTTAAATTACATTGATTTATTGCATGTAATTCAAAGACGCATATTATCAGAACTGTGGAAGATGTAACTTCCTATGGGTAAAATAAAAGTACCTTCATATTTATTGATATTCGAGCTGACTACTAAAGTTGCTATTCCTCTTTACCATTTAAAAAAGATTCAAAAAGGAGCGTAGCTTTTGCTGGATGTTAAACTGATGTTGCTTCATTGGCCTGAGCAATGGTCTGAACAATATTTAACTCATTAAAGATGGTTTTCATCTACAAGAATCAAATTGTAAAATCTTACCAGTAATGATCTAAGCTAGACTTTTTCCAGTCAGTATATTAGTATTGTTTTTTAAATCAGTCCCTTTCAATACTAAGATACAGGCCTTGCGTGATATCATCATGCATCTAGATTCTTCTTACACCCCATTAGTATCTGGGCTTTCACATAAAAACCTGTAAGAGAAGTGAAAAGCAGGTAACATCCCATATAAACTTTCTTTCAGATGTTTTGAACGACTGCAGCCCTTATACCAGGTGACATTTTTTGGACAAGAACCCATTGTGAGGAAAGGAAACATTGAGCCCATCAGCATAACCATAGCGCAGAGATCCTCAAATAAGAAGGTAAAGACAAAATTTAAACGGTAAATTTTGAGCTTGCTTTTCTGAGTTGAGCAACGTACAGCGGTGACATTGGAGATGATTATTACAACCTGCAGGTGACAGTTATCAAGAACCTTGAGCTCTATGGTCTAGACCCACAGTGTGTTGCCAACATCCTGCAACAGAGGGTACAGGCCAGCGCCACGATCACCCCAGTACCAGGAACAAAAGACAGAGTTCAGGTGCAGATCCAAGGCAATCAAATCCACCATCTGGCCAAGATGCTGCTAGGTAGGTTTCTTCTGGAACCAGGCCAGGACTGCTTATAGCAAGGTTACTTCTTAAACTCTAAATATTTACCTGAAATGAACTCTTTTCTTTATATTGCAGAAGAATACCAGCTACCTCGGAAATATATTCAAGGCCTTGAGAAGGCGCCAAAGCCTGGCCGGAAGAAGTAGGAGAAAAACCTAGTGTAATCAGATGTCATTATTTATAAAAGTGTTGTGCCTACAGATCAAGGATAATATGGTCCCATTCGTGCAAAGATGAGTCGTGGACTTTTTGTAATGTCTGGAATTAATCCCATTAATAATATTGCTCTAGCTGCCCATTTTTCATAAAAAATAAAAGACTGGGGGAAAAAAAGTAGCATTGTCGTTGTATTCACTTCTAGAATGGATTTCTGATTTAGGCTTAATACATGGAAGTACCACAGGAGGGCGCCAGATAAATAAGTTACATGAGATTCCTTTAATTACCGACAGTTTTATTATCTTTATCTCTTACATTGTGCATATGAACAAGTAATTTCAGACCCTTCAAAAAAGCTGCAAGTGAGACATTTTTTAAAAATGCCATAGAATTACTAGGGAGTAGTAAAAATAAATTACAGCATTGCAAAAATGCATTTCACTTTGCCATAGAAGCTTTGCTATTCCATTCTATACACATTATTTTACATGTTTTACAGGAAAAATAAATTCACACGAACTAGGCAACACGCACCATACTAACCAAAGGCACTGCCAACAGCATTTTGCGCTTAAGGAAAGGGGGCAACACTCCTATCCTAGACTTGTGCCTTGGCACAGGCCAACTGACTGTTGAGATTTTGAGTTTCAAGGCTACCTATTCTTCAAATGCCCCAGATCTTGAAAAAACAAACCCAAAAGAAAGAGCCCTCCCCCTTGGCAGGAGGTTTTCAGCAGCATTCACGGTAATTGCATAAGAAGCCATGCCTTCTGCAAACTGTCCAAGACATGCTGGGTTCTAGGGAGGGAAACACCAAAACTCTGGTAGAAAACAACAGCGAAAAAGAAACCCTTACAAGTTTTAGCCAGAAAACTGAGGAGTTTAAAAACAAGCTTCTGGGTCTGGCTTCTCAGAACCAATGGCAGTTTTTGCAGTGTTCTTCCTCTTGAGTGAATACAAGTATTTATACAGTGCTTTCGAGACCCAAAGCGCTAGATGAATGTGATTTAAATTACTCCACAAGTGCACGGTGAAGTAATAAGTATTCTTACCAGAGGGCAAACGGGCCCAAAGCATGACAAATGACTGCTCTTTTTGGGCTGCTGCCACCTTGCTGAAGGTCATCGGGGTGGAGACGAGCGCCCCGCGGGGAGGCGCGGGCCCTTCCACAGCCCTTCCTGCACCACTGGCTAGAGCCCGAGCTCGAGCTCAGCTCGCAGCACGTGGCCTCTGTACAAAGCGAGGGGCTCCACGGGATGCAGTTGCTCTCTCAGGCTAATAAACAAAAATTACAAACAACTCAAGTATAAATCTGAAAAAAAATATCCCGAACAGTCACCTTGAAGGACAGAGGAGCCAGTTCGTTGTCCCTCCGTGGATAAGAGCGGCCTCATCCCAATAGTACTTGAGGTCCTGGGGTGTCAGGGAGTGACGAGGCCTGTAGACCTCAGCCCGGTTGCATCTTCCTCCTTAGCCCAAATGTAAAGTTTTTACACTTAAGGAAAAAGAGAAAAAAAAAAAAAAAACGAAAAAAAAAAGGCACTGAGGTAAATTTTAGACTCTTCCAAGTCGTCTGTCCTGCCCAGGAGCCTGTTCCCTCCTTTCCGTTTCACGCAGGTGAAACCACGGCAGTCCCTAGGGCGAGTTCCAGGAGCCTGGGGCCACCGGAACCGCTGCGCCAGCTGCGGCCGAGCGCGGCTCGTTCCCACGCTCCCTCCTGCCGCTACACGTTGCCGTGACCCGCGTCCACAGCGGGAGGAGCTGCTTGTTTTGCTCCCCTCGCTCCAAGCCCCGCACCTGGGAATGCAGCAAGGGATCCAGGGGATCGAGCGGGATCCGCTCCGGGCGGCACCGGCAGAGCCAGGCTCCGAACAGGGATGGGGACAGCACCACGAGGAGAGGTACCAAGAGGACACGCAGTCTAAGAGGGCACCAGGAGGAGAGAGAGGCCAGGAGCTCCCAGCCTCTTCCCAGTGCTCCCCAGCCCGTGCACAGCACAGGAGCAACTGGACCTGTGAAAAGCCGGGGGTTCCTGGTTCGTCTTAGCTCTGCATTGCTAAATGGTTGCTATCAAAGCATTTTACTACATTCCAACCATCATCTTCGACACTTTTCAAACAGAATTAAAACACTGGTCCCAATTGCTACGGAGTAGGAAACTGGTAAAACATAGGCTTGCTAAGCTAAGCAACGGGAATATTTGCTTTAATTTGCCTTCAAAGCTATTCTTTTTTTTTTTTTTCAAATTAAGAAGCTAATTAGAGTAAAAGATGACTTTTCTTCGCTAGATTTCAGTAATACTTAGTCAAAGACCGTCGTGACGCTGCAGCCGCCGTGGCATCGTGACCGTACGTGTCACTTGGCCGTGCCCCGGAGCCTGTTGGGCGCCGGCTGCAGCTGCAGCACCCACGTGGGTGGGTGCAGCCACCTCCTGCACCTCGTCCGCTGCTTCCTGCGCTCCGCTTGCGAAACGGGAGGCCACAAACACGCGTCTGCGGAGCCGGCACCGGCCACGCGAGCGGCCCGACACCAGCAGCCAGGAGCTGTTCCTGTTGCGTTTGACATTCGGCATTTCCGTGACGTTTCTTCACCCTGTGGGTCAGGGCAAACCCCAGAGCTAACCAGCAGTTAACTGGTTAAGCAGTTAACTGGGTAAGCGTTGCTTTGCTGAGGGCCCCCTGGTTAAGACGAGCTCCTCGTTCTTTGCTGGGTCTGGTCCTGAGACAAGAGGTTTCAGAAGAAGAAAACACAGTACGTTCACTGTAGGGTTCCTATGTGCCAGTCCGTAACGGGAGGATGAGGAGGGGCAGTGAGTGACCACGAGAATGTGTCCTGAGAAGTGTCTTTTCGTTTTGAAAACAGTACCTAGCTTAGTCTGATTCTGCACGCGCCTCCTGAGCAGTTATCCGGGCTTGCCTCCTGCTTCCTTCAAGGTCTGCTGCAGCCTCTGCTTGAACTTCTCGTACTTCCTTTGCACTTGCTGGATTTTGTCCTTTTCTTCTTTGTCCAGTATCATTAGGAAGTTCTGGAGCTCCGGGATGGAGAACGCGTCCCACTGCAGCCACAGCAAAAAGAGAGGCATTGGACTTTGTTACGTCTTGGTTAGCCCTGACTCCACGGAGACGAACGTTAACAGACATTTAAACACGTATCTGATGTGCAGGTAGCCTGGCTGAAGGTGCTAACAGGTCACAACACACAGGACCATCGTGGTGCGGAGCCCCTGAGCCCACAGTCCTACCAGGAATCTATTTCCACTGCAAGAGGTAGCCCCATTCCCCAAAGCAATCGAAACATATATCAAATAATTGACCTAGCACCTCTGGCAAAGAGGTCCACTCGGATCCGGAGGGAGGATTCCCATGAGAATGGGAATGTCCTGACCCTGGCATTGGTCACGACGTGGAGCCCGTCTGCGACTAGGGGCTGGCCGAGAGTTTGTCACCTGGATGGCCCCAGCTTCTATTTAAATTAGCAGCTTAGTTAGAGCAGTATTTAGCTAATCTAATTAGTGAGGATTAACTTTGGGTCTGTGGCTTGGTTCCGTAAATAGGTTATGGTTTGGGCACCAAAACTGACTTCAGTGACTTCATAACTCAGGTTTCATTCCTTACAAATCATCATAATTTATGAGCAATAAGTGGTCCAAACATTTCTCACAAAGTTAAGTCCACACAAAGCTAAGTCCAAGCAGTTCATTCAGTAGATAAAAATAATAATTTTATTGAGAAGCCAGTATCACACTCAGTATTTAAGATGGTAAAAATCACCACCGGACGGAGGGAACCGGCCCACATGCTGCCCTGTCAGCTCATGCTGCCCCTACCGTAAATGTCACAGGTCCGTTCAACATTGCCGCGTGTTGGGGTGAAGCTGTGAACATTCATGTGAAAGCCAAAGGAAAGGGCCACAGACTTACCTCAACTTCCCCAGTTTCGTTTTCCTTCAGCACGAAACTGAGAACATCTGTGTTGGGGCCAGCGAGCAGCCGGAGGTACAGGGGATACTCGGTCAGAGGGAGCTTCTGGAGGAGAACTGCAAGGGGGAGAAGACATCCCCAGGGAGGGGGCTGCAACCCCATCTTGGAAACTCATAATTCCCCATCAACCTCAAGAAAACATGGGAGCAGCACCACATTTTGTAGAGACCAGGCCATTTATTCATCCAAAACACAGACGCCGCCTGCCTGGTGCAACACCATGAGCCCTAGGCCGGACACTTTGACACCAACGTTCCCTGTGAGAAAATTTGCCAGCCTCATCCTCACTGAACAACACACTCAAGGTTCACGTTAGCAGAACAGAGCCTGCTTTGAGGGAAAATACAGGCAGATGACTCGTAATTAAAGCATTGGCTTGAACCACTGGATATCTGGTGCTTTTCTCCATCACAGACACCCTGCTCTAGCACGGGTAGCACACCTAATTTTCTAATTCCAGCTTCACAGATGCACAACAGAAGTCTACGTCCACCACCATTTGTCTGTAATGCTTTTTAGCCCATGGCAGGAGAGGAGAGGACTTAAGGGGGCTCCACTAGGGAGCCCACTGTTTCTGCAACACAAAATAGAGAGCAGAACTCATTGGCTGAAGGAAAGCTGGCCCAAGGAAAACCATTCCACATTTGCAGCTCTAAGGGCACCAACTCACCTTGCCCATCTTTCCGCATCTCCTTGAAAAGTGCAAACTTCTGGGGGTTATCCACCACCATGAACTTCTTGAGGAGCCCCTGGATGACCTCGCTCACCGTGGTGGTGCTGCTGATGTGCAGCTGCTTGATGGCATCCAGCGGCAAGTAGAAGGACGTCCTCTTGTCCGTCATGTCAGCCAGGTTCACCTCCCTGAGGGCATCGTAAATGGACTGCGGCCGGATCCCCGCCGGGACCGTCACGGGACGCCGCAGCTTCAGGTGCACCTTGATGAAGCCCGTGTAGGTTCCATCATCGTTCTAGAGCAAAGAAAAGCAGAGTCACAAGCCAGGGCATTTCCAGGTTCATGGTCGCATTTTCACCATCATGAGGGACCTTCTGGTCTCCTAACATGATGCTTCAGCCCGCGGCATGACGGCAGCAGAACTTTCCACTGTGCTTAGTGCACTGCTAGGAGGCTGAGGGCTCCTTATTAATCATGTAAATGCAACCAGCAATTTAGGTTAGTCACTGCTGAATTTTTCCTGTTTCTTTCTACTCCACAATGACTCATCTCTTCCTCGCATCTGCCCTATCTTGCCTTATTTAAAATTGATCTTGCTACAAGTTGGTTGAGTTGAAAAATGCTATAAGGTAATTGGGAGCTGCCCTTAAACGCAGATTGCAAAGCCCTGTGCGGGGCTTGGTGCTGGCGCTCAGCCGGAGCTCCTCACCGTATTCCTGAAGTTTTTGAGTCCCTCCCACCTGCATGCAATAAACCAGCGCTCAGGGCAGCCTGTCTCGCAGGAGACCCCTTTTCCTGTCCCCCAGCACTGCAAAACCAAGGGAAACCTCTGGCTCTTCGCAGGCATTTCGTGGTGCAGAGCCCGGCGCAGCTGCCCAGCGAGGGCACACGAAGGGCTCCCAGGTCCCCACATGATGTTTTTGCTAAGCTTAAATAAAACCCAAGAACATGGGGTCCAAATCACCCCTAAGTTAGTGGGTCCTAAAAATCAAGGGCTTGAGACACCCCAGCACAATTCACTGCAGAGTGCTCAGAAAGAGAATTGTTTTAAGTAAGGTTTGCTTGACTCTGGCTTGATTTCAGATGTTATCGAGCAGCAGGAAGTTACGTAACTGCTGCTCTTACAACTCCTAAAAATGGTTTCGCTCTGAAAATAAAAAGCTTTTCCCTGGCTCTGCACAGCCTGGAGATGTGCAGCTGAAGGAGGACAGAGGCACGGACCGGCTATTCCAAGCGTGTTAGACTAATGCAGAACAAAGCCTGGGAAGGAGCTGGGCAGGACCGAGTGGCACAAGGAGCTGCGGGCGCTCCTGCCTTGGCACGTTCACGGGCTGGATGGTTCCCGGCCCAAAGGAACTAGCAGCAGGAACCTACCAGCTTCATGAGCAGGCAGTTGGTCACCTTGGCGTTGTACTTCTCGATCTTCTGCTTGATCTCCTGCGGCGTTAGAGGGGCCCGTTGTTCTTCTTCCAAGGTTTTCGCTACATTCTGGAACAAGAGACAGGCCTTGTTGGACAACAGGGCATCTCTCTGGCCCTCCTGATGCCTCGGAAATACAGGGACAGGGACTAGGTAGGGTTCGGAGGCAGCAGATGTGGTATGGGGAACACGGGATACAGCAGGGAAAGCGTCCCGACCCTCAAACCTATTTTCAAAAACCTGCTGCCCAGTCATCGTCTGCCCCTGCAAAGCGTTCCCACGCGCCGTGCAAGGAGGCAAACCCCACGCGCTATCTGGAGCGGCCGCAGGCTGCCACGCGAGGACCCCCCTCCCGAACCTGGGAACCGCTTCCCGCGGCTCCACCCACGCAGGACCTTGCCCGAATCCCTCCCCAGAGCGCCGCCGGCTCTTGCCCCAGGCCTGGCGACCCGCGCTGCGGAGCCGGGGCGGCCGGCGCGCGGACGCGGGGCAGAGCGGCGGCTCCGCTCACTGCGGCTCCGCTCCGGAGCCTCCGCCGAATTCCCCTTGGGAGGCAGAACCGCGGCTGGCGCCGGGGGGGCAGCGCAGGGCTCCCACGTGACGAGGGGGACACTTGGGCACAGGGGACCCCAGGACATGGGGGGACACGAGGGAGCGGCGGGGGGCTCAGGAGCCCCCAGCTCAAGCCCCTGTGGGTGATTTTCCGCAGAGAACAGGTTCAGCGCAGTCCGAGACGGAAGCGGGAGCTGAGCTCCCACTCGCCACACGGGCAGCGATTGCAGCAGCCCACGGACACCCCAAAAACACAACGCCAGCACCCTGGATAACAGCACCCGCTCGCCTGCAAAATGAACCTGCCGAGGGGCTGCTGGCCTCCGATCCGCACCTCCCGGGAGCAAATCCACATCCATAAGAGGGCTAAGGAAATCTACGTGCAGTAACGAAACAGCGGGAGCTAAATGAAGCCCAAAGCCCCGGGAGGGCAGCACGGCCCAGCCAGGGCTCCCTGCGGCAACGGGCAGTGCAAGGACGGGGCTGCGCAAGGACGGGGCTGCCCTGCTCCCCGCCGGCCCCTGGCACCTCTTTTTCCCCATTTTTGATGCATAGAAAAATCAGTAAAACTCAAGCTCTGCAAAAACAGCAGAGGAAAATGAGGCCACTGGCCCAAGCTCTGCCCAGAGCACAAGGCTCTGGACAACAGGTTGCTCCTTCCCTGGCCCCGTTCAAGTGCCATTGCAAGAGAAACGCTGCGTTACGAGCACCTGACAGCGACGGCGCTCAACAGCCATTTTGTGCTCTCCAGGGGTCATTTTACAAGTCATCTTGCATCTGGTGGGGAATTAATTTGCTTTTATTAACTTGTTGGTGCTGGTGGCAGCTGGCTGAACCGTTTCCATTGCAGAAAACACTTTACGGTGTGTGGGGAGCAAGCACCTGGGCCAGGAACTGAAGGAAACCTCTCACTTTGCCCCCTCTGTGGCCCTGCTGCTTGCCTGCAGCTCAGCTCCTTCCTGCTCTCGCGCCCGCCCCGGGCTGGGGGTGCAGGTTTCTGGTGCAGAATGTGCAACAGGGCCGAGGGCAGAAAAACAGAAGCTCTAACCCATGCGCGGTTGCCACATTTCCTGTTTTACGGGGACAGGATGAAACACGCCGAGAGCAAAACAGCGCGCGGGGCCTCCCTGCGCGCGCCCCGGGACCTGGCTCCCATGCGGCAAACGCAACGGCCCTACAAGCGGATTTGCAAGTTTGCAGGAAGGAGGGACGTGGTCCAGCCTGGGGGCAGCCTCGGAAACGCCTCCCTGTCCTGGGAATGAAGTCCCACGTATTTCACTCCCGTCAGACGGTTCAAATCTGGGGCTGTGCTCGCTTTGGGGCTGGGAGGAAAGGGCAGAGCAGCCTTAAGAGAAGGGGAAGAGCATCATGGCTGCGTTGCAAAGAGGCGGCAGGCAAGTGGAACTGGTCTCCGCGCCTTGATTTCCATGGAGATTTCACTTGGAAACAGCTTTTCCTGCCGCACCTCCACTCAAAAGCGCCTCATGGGAGGCGGGAGGGATGTTGCACCATGGAGCATCCCTGGCTGGGAGCACCGGCCCCATCTCCACAGTATGGCCAGGGTGCTGCCGACCCTCTGCCCCAACCAGGCTGGGAGCAGAGACAACTAGGAAGATTCCCATTCCCCTTGATCCAAACCCAAACAACACGGGAACCTCAATGGAGAGCAGCACGCAGGTCTGCTGTGTGCTCCTGGATCCCTTTGCTCTGCTTCCATGCGCACCAGGAGCTCCCATTAGCTGCCCACGCTGCTCCCAAGGGCAAAGCAGGAGGGGAATCTGGAAAAACATCCACCAGGCTACAAACCGGCTCCTGCGGATGAGCGGAGCCCCTGGCAGCGCTGACCTCCATAAACCTCCCTGCGTGCTGCTGTGCCCTGGCGAAGCAGGACCCTGTGCTGGGTCACGTTGCCCGACGCGCGGCGCACGGTGATGCTCTTTGCACATCCCCACCAGGGTAATCCTGCGTATTCGCCATAAAACAGCACAGATGCTGCACAGAACAGCCGGCGCATCCTTAAGCCCGTGCTTCATTCAGTTAAAAATCAATGAGATGTTCCAGGCAAGTCCTCCCGCTCGCTCCGCATCGTCACTGGGAAGCGCCGCTGGCTCCAACGCAGCCCATGGGCTCCGTGCGGGAGGAGGGGACCTGCCAGGACAGCACCTGGGCATTCCTGGTCCTCCCAGGATGGAGACCCCATCCCAAGAACCCCCTGGCAGCCCCGGGGGCTCCTGCCTTGGAGACCCTAAGCGGGCAGGGGCTGCAGAGCAGGCGGCGCTCGCTGACCCGGTCCCCGCGTGGACCCCGCGCATCCCCGGCACCTGGCGCCATGGCAACGCCCATCGCCATGGCAAACACCTCCGCAGCACTTAGCGGCTCTCCGCTTTTTTTAGCCGGAGAGACGGGAGCTGCCGGGGATGCTGCAGGGCCCGGTGCGCTCCTCGCACGCGTGCGACGGTGCCACGGGGCAAACCTCCACATCCTCTGAACCGCCTCCTCCTGGGGCCATCCCGGCACGGCCGGGAGACCCCCAGGATGCTCCCTGGGGCCTGGGGCCACCAGGGGCCTTTGCCACCAAGCGCAGCACGGAGAAACATCCTCATGAGCCACCCAGCCAGCCAAGCCCTGCTGTTTTCCGTGCCTTTTTGGGTGGGAAAAACTCCTTGCACTTTGCATGCTGGTCATGGGGGTGCTCGTTGGTGCATGTCCACAACGGACAGCCCGAGCACCCCGTGCACGACCACGAGCAGGTTGTCCAGCGAGCGGCTGCGATGCCAAAGTGCTGCAGGCCTGCGGGAAGAGGTGACTGCGGAAAAGGGGAGCAAAACGTGTGGTTTTCCCTGCCCCCGAGAAGAGGCCCCGCGTCCTGCGCAGGTGGCCACGGGCCAGCCCGGGGTGCCCATGCACGGAGCCCCGGGGATGCTCCAGGATGCTCGGGGTGGCCGGAGCGGGGGGGCCGTGTGGCACCTTGCACCATGTCCCGCAGCTCCCCCATGCATGATTCATCCAGTGACATTTAAAGGCAGCAGGACGCGCTGGTTATTCATAGCGAGCGGGAGCTGGTGCCTGACAGGGAATACCCCACGTTAAACCCGAGCGAACATTTCTTGCACATATATGTACATATACATGGTGGGTTTTGGAGGCTCTGCCCAGCCCTGCAGCCTCGTTTCGGCAGCCTCTCCCCCCAGGGCAAGCCCGGGTGCCCAACGGGGCCAACTCGGGCGCTCTCGGGCCGCGGTGCCCGACCAGGTTGCTGCTCCCGGTGCCTCTGCCCTCCGCTTCCGCAATGGCTCCGGCTCCCCTCCTGCCCCTGCTCCCGGCGTTGGCCACTCCGGGGAGGCCGTTCCAGAGCAACCCTCAGCAGCACCACGCAGGGACACTGGGAATGCCACGCAGGGACACCCGGCATTGCCCGTCCCGCGGCACCGGCGGCTCCGCGATGGGCGCCCGCCCCGGCGCCGCATCCGCCACCATGTTGAGGTGCCACACGCGGCCTTCGCCCCGGGCTTCCCCATCACGAGCAGCGCCGTCTGCAGCCCCCAACACCCCCAGCCCGTGTGGGGGGACAACTGCCCCCTAAAACCCCGGGGGAAATAAACCATGGAGCGACTCCGGGTGCTCCTTGGGGCAGGGGGGACAACCTGGTTCTCGCGGGGTGCAGGGCTGGGGACACACGCAGCGGGGAGGCAGCTTGTGCTGCGCCCTGCGTGCTGCAAAGGCAGCACCCGCGGGTGCCCGCGCCCCAGCACGGCCGTCCCCAGGGTCCCCCGGTGTCCCCAAGGTCCCCGCGCTGCGGAGCCGTTACCTTGGCGGGGCTTTTGCCGGGTGCGCTGCGGAAGAAGGAGGTTTTGGCGGTGAAGAAGCAATCCTCGAGGTCTTCATCCAGGCTGCAGTAGCCGCTGCTCATGCTGCTGCCGATGGTCATGGGAGGCGCGGGGGCCGCGGGCGGGCGGGCGCCGGCGCTGCCGCCTCCTCTCACATCCTGCGCTCAGCGGCGCCGGCTGCGCCTGTGCGCCCGGGCGCGCGGAGCCGGGTAACCCTTCCCTGCCTGCGCGGCACGGAGCGCCCCGCGGGAGCCGCGCTCGGGCCTCCGCCTGCCCTCGCCGCGCGCCCGCCCGCTTCCTCCTGCTCCCGGCAGCCTCCGGAGCCGCCCGGCGCAGAGCTCCGGCACCCACGTGCCCTGCATGGCTCCTGCTGCGGGCACCGGGAGCTGCTCATCCCGGCGCGGGAGCATCGTGCATCCCGGCCCCGCTCCGCCGCATTCCTGTGCGCTGCAGGACACAAGTGCAGCCAGGGTGCGCGGCTGGCACGAAACCTGCTGCTTGGCTCCACAAACCCCTCGGCACTGCAGGAACCCCATGCACGGGAAATGCCCAGGGCCACCCTTTGCTGCAGGATGGATTTGCCCCCACACACCAAATAAACTCAGTTGTAAGAAGCTCCTTGTCTATGTCCTATGATCTATGGAGACACTTCCCAGTCAGGGCTACGTTTTCCCTCTCCGTTTCCCTCGCTCCATTTTGCAGGATCTCTTGCCAATGGGGCCCAACCCAACGCCCGCATGAGGTGCAGGAAAGCCAAAACGGGCCCCAATTTGCAGCCCTATTTATCCTGCTTTGCAGCACACACTCTCATTTCCCAAAGCTCATTACAGCCACCAGGATTGTTTTAACCCTGGGTAATTTTTCAACATTCACAACATGTTGCTCAACTGCCGCCAACGCTGCAGCGAGACCTGTTGGAATCACATAGGAGAGGAAGAGCAAACAGAGCTGGAAAACTTCATGCCACCAAATGAACCCAAGCAGTACCCATGGTCCAAACGCTTCCAAAGATCCACGCAGAGAAGCATCATAGAAGAAGCATCAAGAAGGACCATAGACGTGATGGAGAGCCACAAAACCTGCACTCTGCTCCTTGCAAAGCATCCATCCCCGGCTCCATCCCTGGCATGACGGCACCGTCGCATCCAGCATCTTCCTCACAAAGCGGAGCAGCTGGGGCTCCTTGCCCCAAATCCACCCGATAACCCTGAGCCAAAAGCGGAGCCTGGACCCAGCCCGGGGAGACTAATCTGGCACCCAGATGTAAAACACTCTTAAGTACTTTACTGGATCAAAGCCCAAAATATTAATGCCTAGCGTTACATGGTAACAGCACTTAAGTGTGTGATACTAAATTAGCTATTTCTCTGATGTCTCTAGTTTGCTTACATTTGATAACGCTATTTATTGACTTCCAACTATTCCAGCTATTAATTTAAGTTCCTGCATTTCCTTTGCTCCCCGGTGCGGTCCGGCACCCTGCACGTCTCACCCTGCAGCACCGATACCTTTTCCCTTCATCTTTCCTTTCCATGAGGCCCAAACTGCTCGGCCAACAGAGAAAAACCACCAGAACGTGGCTGTGCTCAGGTTCAGATCAAGTGAATTGGAATATCCAGCCTTTCCTCCCAGATCCAGGTGACTTTTCCCAACCCAAGCAACAAAGCCTTTCCAGTTTTGCCGAGGAGAAGCCCAAGGACATTTGAAGGAGCTGCAGACAAATGCACACGTGGCTTCATTCGCACTGTGGTGGAGGTAATTTAGTGCATAACCTATAAGAAAGCAAATCCTGAGCAGCTCCTGGGTCTGAGCACTGCAGCGCACACCCGGGGCCATCACTACCGATGGCACTGTGCTCTTGTCCAAAACCTTTTCCAGGTCCGGCCAATTCCAGCACCAAGTGCCCAGTCTGGTTGACACGGCAGAGCGGCCAGTCTTGTCTCCGTGGTGTTTTAAGGGAACAACCTTACAGGGGAACAAACCTGCTGGAGAAATCCCCGCCGCATCCCTAGTGTCACTGCACCAAAAGAGCAGCATCAAGGCTAGAGCCCAAACCCTGCGTATTTGGGTAAGCGCATTTTCCGTGCGGATCAGACCACGAACCTGCCCGGGGACTTTTTGCTGCTGACGTGGGCAGGAGGAGCCGCTCGGCGGCCCTGCTCCCGGCGGCCGCCCTGCTCCCCCCAGTGCCGCCCCGCGGGAAAACACCCGTTTTTGACAAGCGGGAGCGATTTCGGGGCCACGCAGCAGCGAACGCGCGTGGCAGCGGCGCCCTGCGGCGCTTTGCCGGGCGCTTCCCGACGGGAGCGGGACCCCGCGGCGAGGTTCCTACCTGGCCGAGGCGGCGCGCGAGGCTGCTGTCGGGCGAGAGCGGGCTGGGCGGCTGTCCCGGGCGGCGGCAGTGCAGCTGCACGAGGCTCCGGCATCCCGCGTGGCACGTGTAGCCGCAGTCTGCGGGGAGACACAGCGTGGGCGCCGGGGCCGCGGCGCCCGCATCGCTCCCCGGCACGGGGAAGCCTCTGCGTCTTGCACGCGGACACACAGAATAAGGCAGGGGTTCAATGGTCAGCAAGGCGTTAAGTGAGCAGGTCGCCGAGGTGAGCGCAGGTTGCTGGGAGAGATTGATGGATCCACTCCCAGATCCTGACAAAATAAGGGGAAAACCAGGAGAGAGCAGGGCCCGAGCACCAGCCCAACCACCTCCGAGTGCAGCTGTGTCCCGACCGGCACCGGGATTTGCACAATTCCCCTCGCTGCTCCGCTTAGCGCTGGCTGTTCCCGGCTCCGCAATTCCACTTTTCCAGAGCCTCTTGGCTGGCACAACCACCCCCTCCTGCTTTCGTGCCCCGATGATGCTTTTAATCTTTAACCACCAGAGAAACAGAGTGCGATTTACTTTGAAACTATCCCAAATTCCAGAGCAGTCATTGAACCAGGGGAAAAAAAAATCCTAAAAGCAAAGCAAGATTCGCTGAAGCCAGGGCCAGGACTGGGACTTGTCCTGAGCCTCCAGCTGGGCTCCCAGCCCCAAAACTGCTGGGGCAAAAGGAAATTCTGGGATGTGGCTGCAGAAGCAGCGTGGCCAGAGCATCGCGCAGCCCACAACAGGCAGCGGTGCCGGATTAGGGCCATTAGGGCCAGACATTTCATGCTGGATTAACGCGTGACACCTCCTTAGTCACCGGCACCTATTAGCGGAGCTAATCGCCCGGTATCTGGTGGGGGACACTAATTTTAGAAGCCGAGCGCGGCAGCAGGATGCGGCCACGCGACGGGCTCGCCCGGAGCCACCGCAGCAGGATGCCGCCAAGAGCGCTGGAAATGCCATTTCTTAAACCCCATTAATTAAACAAACCCCAATATCCCTAGGCAGCAACATTCTCCTGAGGGGTCTGAAGCCCTCGGGGCTCCTCCAGCGGGAATCCTGGTTCCGCTGGACTCGGCTTCTTTGGCTCCTCAGAGCAAAATGCTCTAACGTGGCTCTGCGGCTTGTCCTGGTTTTGGAGCACGCGTGAAATCCAAGGGCTCCTCTCAATTCCTTCCAAGCTAAACTGACATTCCCACAGGAAGCCTCCCGCTGCAAGGCCCCTTTTCCATGGCAGGAACCGAGACGGGTTGGCAGGTAGGGCCCTGGGGCTCAAATCCCGGCCACATCCCGGAGCGGAGCCCCGCGGAGCAGAACCCGCGGAGCAGCCGCACTCGAGCACCCACCTGCGCCGCCCGGCCGCGCTTTAGCCCTGCGGAAATGCCCGAAGATTTTACGGAGCCTCCTGGCCACGAGCCCCAGGCAAGCGGCCGCCTCGGCGCCGCCGTCGCTCATGGTGCCTGCGCCGCCGGCATCCCCGCCGGAGCCCTTTCCCGTGCCGGGATAACGCCCCGACGCCGCCCGTTCGCGGCCCGCTGCGGTTCCCGGGAGCTGGGAGGGGGTTTCTTTTGGAATGACAAGGCAAGAGCTTGGGGTTGTGCATCCCTGCGCCTGCTCCGGCGGCCCTGGGAAACTTTCTATTTCTGGGGCTTTTTGCTTGATAAGATAAAGCAGCGACGGAAGCGATTAGAGGGGGCGAGTGCGCGGGAGCACCGCGCGCCAGGGGGGCTTGTGGCCAGACCCTCTTCACGTGGCTGCTTTTCCCTGTGCCCTTCCAAAGCTTAAAAAGTCTGCAAAATTTAATCACATGCTAAATATAAGGAATATTCCACGATTCATTAGATTATCCAGCACTCCAAAGAGTTTTCCAGGTTGCAAGATTGATGCTATTGGTCTTTCGTGAGGCACAAACATCACCCAAACAGCAAGCCTGAAATCTGTGACATTATAGTGATATAACCCTAAACTACCCCAAAGCTGCCCCAAACCCCCTCTGCTTGCACGTCTTCATACGCTCTTCATAGGCTTTCCAGCATCCTGCACGAGACCCGTGGCCTGCTTGCATGGGGAATAACAGGCTAAAAGTCATCCCACTCGCCTCACACCCCAGCCAGCGCCGCAGGGAGCCCGTTCAGCCGCTCCGGAGCGGGCATCGTCCCTTGGCCCTGCTGCCCCAAGCCCTGGCAGCACCCGGCACTTCGCACCTGCCCCGACGGACTCGCCTGGAGTGGGGAAGAGGAGGTGGGAGGAAGAAGCCCCAGACTAACCTGTGCGGCACAACCCGGAGCGTCTCTCCATGAATCCTGCCCGGGCCCCGCTGCTAAAAGCGGCGCGAAACGCAGCGCCGAGGAGCCGGGAGCTGCTCCGGGCGCATCCGAGCACCGTCACGGCCGGGGCAGCTCCGGCCGTGGGATGCGCCCGGCGTCTGCGCGGCATCCGGCAGTGCCCGGGAAGTTGCCCCGGCTCTTCCCGCACCCAGCACGGCGGATCCGGCGCCCTCAGCTCTGCTGAGCCGAGTGGAGACGCCAGCGAGGTGACAGGGACGGCGGAAACGCTGGGTGTCCCGCAGCGGGCACCTGCGGCACGCGCCCAGCGCCCGGCCTCCCCAGCGCCCCTGCGCCCGCCGGGGATCCTTATCAGAGCAAGCATCGACCAGAGAACCAGTCGCGCCAGAAGCGCAGCGAGCTCCGGGGAGAAGCGGCGCGCGCTCAGCCGGCTCCTCCCTAGGCAAGGGGATCCCCACCGGGCCAGGATTCGAGCACGGGCTGAATTCAGGTGGTGCTTTGCTGAACCACGTCCACAACACGAGGTTTAGGGACCGGCCACTGAGGCCACCGTGAGACCTCCCTGCAGAGCAGCTCCTGCCACTGCCGAGGAGGCGGCTCCGGGCTCCAGCTCCGAGCAGGACGGAGCGTCACAGGACGGGCGGAAACGGGAGCGGTGAGCACAGGCGAGGCTCTTCAATACGTTTTTGTGATTTGCACCACGAGGTGCCCAGCACGAGCGTGAGTCACTGGAATGGCACCCTCGGGCAAAGCCCGCCCCGACAGCCACGTTCCTGGAAGCGCCGTCGCCTCCAGAGCTGCCTTCCCACTGCAGAAGGGGCCACGAGGCTGCTCCGGAGATATTCCTGGAAGGATCGCCTCATCCCACAGGACAAAGGGGAATCTGGCAGCAGGGATTCCGGTGCACTTCTGCTTCCCACCAAAGCCGTGGGGCCAAAACCCACTCCGGGCTCAGCAGCAGCTCCAGCCCCTTCCTCTTTCCTGGTGTCCACGGCACCGCACAGGGAAGTCAGCGACCGCCCCCATCCCGACGGCACCAGCCCTGGCCAGACCCTGTGCAAATACGAACGGGCAGAAGGGCACAAGTGAAACCAAAGCAAGCGCCGCTCTCAGCAAAACTCCGTGGTCGTGTGGGGAATTTGGGGGAATTTTGGAGGCAGAACTGTTCCCTGAACCTAAGCAATTCTCCTTGGAAAGTAAAAGCATAATAGAGGATTTTTTTTTTGCTAGTTATACTGAAAGAAAACTTTAAGAAGTCCTGCCAGGGGAGAAGTCCCACCAAGCAGCTACTCCTAGCAGCACCGCAGACCTCGATGCATCAGTGTTTTAGATGGGAATTTTCAAGGCGAGCACTGGGGCTGGAACCCAAGCGCCGTTTGCAGCGTCGGGAGCTGCCGGTCCCCACGTGCTCCCAGCTCACGTTGCGCCGCCGGCCGAGTGACAATTAACGGCGGCCAGGGCTAAAGCCTTAATGCGACGCAGCGCGGCCATCTGGCGCTGCCCCCCGACCATTCGGGGCTCCCGTCCCGGGCGAGCTCCCCTGCTTGCTGCAGCTGCCGGCCGGGACGAGGCGGAGCACAGACAGGTTCATTAGCGGGATTAATTGCCCTAGAAAACTGGGAGCCCTTCCTGAGCGAGGGGAACATCAATCACCTGTGCAGAGCGTGGATGAAGTGTGCGAGCAACACGAGCGAAACCGCTGCCCTGGTGCGGCCGGGCAGGGACAGCAGGGTGTGGGGGGGCAAAAAAGGGGTGGCCAAAGTGTGGGACAGCCAGGTAGGGAGCAGGCAGGGTGCGGGACAGGGTGCCAAGGGCCAGGCGGGGTGCAGGAAAGGGCACGGGACACTGGCAGGGTGCAGGACAGCAGTGTGGGGAGGACAGGAAGTGCCAAACAAGGTGCAGAAAAAGGTGCAGGAGGGCAGCGCTGGGCGAGATGCAGGCGGCAGGAACAGGAGCAGAGGAAGGTCCTGGGAGAAGGTGGGGCGCAGGACCCGCTGCAGGACGCACCGGGTGTGGGGGCAGACGCAGCACAGGATGGTGGCACCAGGCAAGACACAGGGTGCGGGGCAGCGGTGTGGAGGGGACACAGGTACAAAGCAGGGTGCAGGGGAAGGTGCGGGGTGCAGGTAGGTGCAGGACAGCGGTGTGGGGGGACACGGGTACCGAGCAGCGCTCAGGGGAAGGTGCAGGACAGCGGTGCTGGGAGGACCCGAGCAGGGCGCAGGGGAGGGTGCGGGGTGCGGCAGGGTGCGGGCCCGCGGGGTCACTCACAGTCGCAGCGCAGCGCGCGCTCCCGCACGGCCGCCGCGCACACGTCGCACCAGCCGCTGCGCGGGGGCCGCGGCGCGAAGCGGTGTCCGCGCCCGCGCTCCGCCGCCTCCCG